TTCTCTAGCTCACTGTATTACTAGTTCTCATATTGTATTCATGTCTTGACAGGATTTGGAAATTTTTATGGCTTATATATACAAACCCATTATGCTACTCTGATCAAAGGAGAAAAATTCATTAAGACGAAAATGTTGATTCCTTAAGCTTTCCTATTTTGTTGATTCCTTAAGCTTTGTGTTGATTCCTTAAACTTTTCTATTTTCCAGTGATGTTCTCTATTATTTCACCTTCATCACAAAAAGGACGATGAGTTCCCTTTTACGGTCATATATGATCAGACATGCCTGATTTTCTTTCTGTTTCCTCTCGTGTTACGGCATTACGGTTTTCCTGCAGTCTTTTCGCTTTCTCCTTTATATTTATTGACACAACTGCACGGGATGGAGTACACACACTCCTTAATCATGCAGCTAAAGGGAATTAACTGAAACTGAGATATCCCAAAAGCTATGGTACGTGAATCAGAACAATCTATCCCCGTGGATTAAATAAAGGGTTCGGTTCGAATTTCTAACGCATACCACCGGAAGAAAGCTGAAGCGTACTACGGTCGAAACGTCGGCAATAAAGATGAGGATTATATATATATATATATATATATATAAAATCGTTCACTCGAAAGTAGTTTACCATCGCTCGAGGAGACACGTTTTCAGTGTTGAAACTTAACTACATTTGTGTAGCGATTCTTAGGATATTTTTTTTAATTATCCTAAAATAAATAATATTCAGCTCTACTCTGTATTGAGCTCCATTTTAAATGAAATGTTAAGGACAGTGGAATTATACTTCATTTTTTCTCATTTTACCTGGACCCAAAGCCTAGAAAAAATTAACTACACTTATAATAGGTCTATTCTTATACTGAAGAATGCTTTCATTGCTCATATACTGACTATTTCTTTCATTATGGTGTTCAGTGTACAACATAATTATTTAGACTTTGAAAACAAAGTATAGAAAAAATTACAACATTCTGATTTTATCTGTGTATATCTCTGAGATGAGGCCTCATGATTATTTACATTATTCAGATTGTTATCCTCATCTTCATTGTCATAATCATAACGTTTCGGCCGTTGTACGATCCGGCCTTTTTCATGTGATTGAAATTTCGAACCGAACCCTTTATTTTGTCCAACGCGGTAAATTGTTCTAGTTCCTCGTACCATGCCTCTTCCGGACACATGGCCTGGTGGATAAAGACAGTGATTTGATCCAGTGACTAGACACAAAGAGTTGTGAGTTCAATACCAGGCCACGGCAGTGGTGAACGAAAAAAAACTTGAAGAGTTGAGTTAAAGGGAAATATCTGAGTCATGACACTAGATACAATCTACCCCGGTGGACGAAATAAAGGGTTCGGTTCGAAATTCCAATCAATTGATGAAAGCCAGAGCGTACAAGGGCCGAAATGTTGTGAGGATAACAGTCCGAATAATGTAAATATTCCGTGTTTAAATCATAAAAATTTAATTTTAAACCCTAATGTTTGACAGCATTTTTAATTGATATATAGCCATCCAACAAACCTTTTCTTTCATTAGGACTAATCCTCACCAATTACAGACTATTATAAATCCTGTAAAATGAAGCTAATATTTAATTTGTTATAGCAGAATACAGATAAATATAGAAATATTAACTTCAGAATTACTAATTCGAGGGTCAGTCAAATACGTATGCCTGTCCTAATTTAATTTTAAAGTTGAAGGAGTTCTTACTTTTCTTTTCTTTTTTCTTTACAACTATAAACGATAAATTTTCTAGAAACCAGGTATAAAGATGCCTGTTCTAATTTAATCTTAAAACATTAGGCAGAATTCTTAGATTTTTCCCTTTTTTTTTCCATTTTAGTTTTTAACCATAAAGTATCAAGAAACCCAACAGTAAACTTTGTGATATAGACTTTTCTTTTCCTACCAAAAATTCGCATCTCAAAATGATAACAATTCTTGACGCAGGGAGTATTTGCTGTTTCATGATGTCTATATAACGATTTGATTTAACGATGAATTTGACGCATTTATCTCATAAATCTTACCGTTGTTGGGAAATAGTTACCGACAGCTAAAATGTCCACTTCGTTGTCTACTGAAATAAAAAAAATAAAATATTCTTTTCTGCCATTTAAAAAAAAAGTAGGATAATAATAATAATAATAATAATAATAATAATAATAATAATAATAATAATAATAAAAGATAATCGACCAAACATCATGATCAAAAACTACAAAAACAGAATGTGCTTTCTCATTGACATGGCAGGTCCTGCAGATTTTAATGTATCTTTCAAGATCTTAAAAACTCTATCAAAATACAAGGAGCTTAAAGGGGAAATATAAGAAAATGTAGCACACGAGGGCATCAATAATTCCAGTTGTAGTTGGAGCCCTCAGTTTGATTGGAAAAGGTTTTGGTAGATTCACTGAAGAGATTCCTGGTAGCCCATGCCTTAAAGAAATACAAAAATGTACTCACACGTGCAGCTCAC